TGGCTGCCACGAATAGGCAGGAAGATTCTATTGGCCAGCGTGAGAGCGAACAGCTGACTGACACGAATGTTAACTAGCATGCTAGCATGCAAAAAAAAATCGTTAGCTGCATTCGTCACAAGTGGGAAAAATTTAAAACTGCATGGCACTTTACTCCAATTGGCTCATTCGTTTGCTTAAACTCAACGTTGATTCTGATTCCGCAGAACTGGGTTGGGTGTGAAAAAGTATTTGTTGTTAACATTCTTTTTTCATTCGGTTTTTCCAGTTACGAGTCCTTTTATAAAGCTGGTCGTTTTGTGTTCATTTTGTTTAGTTCTTTTTTCGTAACAGATTTAATGTTTAGTATAGAGCTTAGAAAAAATTCGCAGTGTGAGATAGGCAAGAAGTAAGGTATGTAGCAACATCAGCATGGCAAAGGGCACTCCTTTAAAGGCAAGGAAGGGCAAAAATATTTTAAGTCAAGTGATAGCGATTGCTGTATGAGTCGTACGATTTTTGAATCAAGCACGGGCAACGCCGGGTCATGCTGCTAGTGTGGTAATAAAATAAGTATATATCTCGCTCGAAACCCTCCATCACAATCAAATAAACATTTTTCAGCACTAAATGAAGGAGTGAAATAAAGCTTCTAGTTAGAATTTTTGCTATATTACAAAATATTAACTTCTGCTGGGCATAAAATGGGAGATCTATTTTCTGTTAATATCAAGTAATAACCCTATCCACATAATTTATTATATATTAATATAATAATTAGAAATTTAATTTAAGGAATCGCATGTGAAATCTTTCTACTAATAGTTAAAATTTAGTAAAACTGTACCATTTTTAACAACGTAAATTACGATTCTACTGAACTTAAATATGTCATCTCTTTTCTGTTGTGATTAAGTAATAAACATGTTTAAAATATTTACTATATATTGACATAATAATTAGAAAATATTTATTTAAAGACTCACACGTGAAACCCTTCCAATAACCTTAAGGACTTAACTATTCTCGCACAGATTATCATCACTGTGTTCTGATGAGTCTTAAATCTTCCCAGAATCACCAATTCTTCAGATCTCTAGTGTTTTTGGCAAACTTCCAAGTGTGTTTATTATTATTATCAGTAGGTCGTTAGGTTTAACATTTCACGGCCTTTTGTAGTTTCCGGGCGTACTCTGTCTATTTTTTAGTATTTTCTTTTGGTTTCATCTTTTTTTTCTTCTTCCGAAATCCATACCGATGTCGTCACTGAAACATTTTACAATATTGAGAAGACCCCTTCAACTCATTGTCGTCTTTGGCAAAGAGTTTGAGATCATTCATGTAGAGTAGGCGATTGAATACTTTCTTGTTCAGTTTGTAACCATAGCTACTCTCGTTTAGTTCGTAAAGGGGGATTAAGCATAAACAAAACAGAAGGGGAGATAGGGAAGATTCCTCGTCAGATATTCTGTCGGTTGGAGATGGCAGTGTCTCTGGTGTGATTTAGGTATAGTGTGATGTTCCACATTCCCTTGCTGTGCTTAAAGAAATTTACTACAACTGGGGAGACTTTGGACATTTCCAAAGTCTTAAGTATCCAAGAGTGTGGGACACTATGAAAGGCTTTACGGTAATCAATCCACGCAGCTCTAAGATTTCTACATCGTCTCCTCCAATTTTCTAGGATCATTTTGTTTATCAGCAGTTGATCTTTGTAGGCATATGAACCTCTCCTGCATCTCTTCTGTTCCAGTGGAAAAATATTATTTGCTTCGAAAAAAGAGTAAGTACACTTCGTCAGAACAGACTTGATCAATTTTTACATGGTGGGCAGACATGTTATTGGCCTATAATTTTTCGGATTATCTATTTCACTCGTTTTTGGCATGAGATATGCAATACTTTCAGTGATCCATTCTGGGATTTCACTGGGATTATTTACAAGCATTGATAGAGTTTTTGCAAGGGTTTTATGGATTGATGAGAGATGATAGAGCCAGAAATTGAACACCATGTTATTTCCTGGGAATTTCCATTTTTGGGATTTCGTTAGATCTTGCCTAAAATTATTTGTTATTATATTTTTCCACTCTTGCTGAGGTTTATCTAGCATTCGTTTTTTTTCCCACGTTAGATTCATTCTGTATTTGGGTTATACTCCTTTGGGCTGCTCGAAATATTCTCCCATAATTTCTGCATATTGTCAATAGATGGTGGTTTTCGACATGTATAACTGCTTTTCCAATTTCCCTGTAAAATTTCTTAAAGTCCGTTTTGAATATTTTATTTTGGCGGTAGAACCTACAAGGTTTTTCGTATCGTCTTGTTCTCTGTGCCTTTAACTGCAGTTTCTGTTTTAGGATTTCCTTGATTGGTGGAATTTCATTTAGTCATTTAGTTTTATATTTCCGCTTGATTTTACTGCATTTGCGTGTTGAGATATTTGGGTTTCTAGAGAGCTAATCTAATATAGAAATCTCACATTTGATTTCCTTTATTTCTTTCATTAGTTTTGCTTTACAAGCTGGCTCTCTTTGTCTGTTAATTATTTTCATTGTCTTGACCTTAAGCTTCCCAATAGTTGCTAAAGCTGTTGTGTGTATGACATTTTTAACTTCTGTGATGCTTCCCTATGGTTTGTTCGTTAGCGGTGTTTCCAGTGCAGCGTTTTATATTTGCCCAATGTGCTTATTGGACTTCGTCACATGATTTTCAAGAAACTGGTCTCTGTCTGACAATTGTGTGGGAGTTACGCTGCTGAGCACTTGGATGATGATTTTTTTTTTTCACTTCGATGATTTCCCCTCTTTGGTTTTCAAGGAATTCTAACTGAATATAGTTGGATTCATCTTCAGTGACATCTTCTGCATAACTGCAGGTTATGTCTCAGGTAGATTCTTTGATTTTATTTCCTGGGAGGTTATTATTTCGTATCTCATTTATTTTAGTTTTTACCTCATCCTCTGACATCATTTATTTCTACTCTCATCTCTTTACTGTGATGTGTTATAGTATTCTGTTTTATATCTAGTTTTATCTTATCTATTTCTACCATTTGAAACTCTTTTGCTTCGCACAATGTCCCTGTGAACATTGGCAATCGTGATTGGCTTGAGGTGAGGCCATATAACTTCCTACCATAGTTCTCCATATTTGGTATGTTTGATTCGTTGTGTTCTTTGTTGGATTTTCGAGGGCAGTGAAGAAAAGTCATGACTTGTTGATACTCTACGCGAGACCATTTCTTTTGTTTTCTTTTTATTAGTCGATTTGGTATTGAGTCACTTGGTCCAAGGTTGGGAATAGTCCAGGTTTGTGTGACCAAGTGTCTCTTGTTTTTTGGAAGAGTTTGTTCCAGTGACAGATTTTTCGGCCCCAGACTGGCTCCTCTCTGAGGTACGCGGCCTTGTTGACCCGAGTGACGGCCGATCCGGTATGAAATTTTGTTCGTAATCATTGAAATCCGTAAAATTGTGTGTTTTATCCTTGACCACCAAGGGGTAATTTTGTTCAAGTTACCAGCTTTAGGACGACGGTCCAAGAAGACCAGAGAACTTGTCCAACCTATGAGATAGTACGGATTGGGGATTATATTCATATATCCACGGTTAAAGAATTAAGTAATGTAATAAGTGAGATAGCATATACGTATAGACATGGCACTGATTATACTAAGTTTTAATTTAGTATAAGTCGGAATGGCTACTACCGGGTGGAATATCAGACTTTAACAATGAGGGTTATTATACCAAATAAAGAAGGGAAAGAAAAGAGAAAAAATTAAAATGAAAGAATTAAAGTTAAATAAAGTTAAAGAGACTTAAAATGAAATCAAAGAAAAGGAAAAATGTAATTTAAATTGGTATAAAATTTACGATTCCTTCCATGTTGAGAAGACGGCATAAAGTGTCATTCTACAAATGTTCAATTTTCCGACGCCAACGACAGGGCTAATTATCAAGTTTTATAGGGTAGACCTCTCCCCCTACAGTTTGGCGGAAAAGCTATCAAGGAATTCATTAAACAAAGGGACAGAGACAAGAGAAACAAAAAAACAAAAAAAAGAAACACATTTCGGGTCATACCTCAACCTGCTAGCCAATAAAAGTTAAATTTTAAATTTTAAGTTAGAAGTTAAGTAGAATTGTCAGATTAGTTCACCTGTAGCCATATGCAAATGGCGGAAAAAGAAAATGTAAGATTTCAGATTTCCACCATAAGATACTTGTATTTTCATAGTTGTTTTTAAAATATATTTAAACATATTTTTCAGGGATTACCATGTCAGTAACAAAGCTGTTCTGGTGGCCTTTGATCTTTGATGTCTGAGCCAGTAACTGTGATTGTTCTGTCTGTGTTTATTGTAAAATCCCATAAAATTGTTACAGGTTCCAGATCTGTAACCGGGTCTGGGTGGTGTTTATACCAATTTCTTGCATACCTTCCAGTGTAGGTATTGGCCAACTCTATCATACCAACTTTTATATTTCGTTGGTGCTAACACTGTTCAGTCTGATACATTATTATTATTATTATTATTATTATTATTATTATTATTATTATTATTATTATTATTATTATTATTATTATTATTATTATTATTATTATTATTATTATTATTATTATTATTATTATTATTATTATTATTATTATTCACCGAAGAGAAAGAGAATGAGACAAGTAAAATATGAAAAAGTTGAGAGAAATATAAGAAATTATATAATACAAAGTCGAAAACAACGAAAGCGTCTAACGATTTGTTTAAATGATTGCTCCTTCACCAATACTTAATTTTACTAACGGTGACGTATTGGTGCGTAAGTGTTCATGGGTGACTCAGAAACGTTACTCTAAGCTCTCTCGGATTGTTAACCCTTTTACAAGCCTTGTTGATAAGAAACAAATTCTGATGAGGCTTAATCAAGCAATTTATATTCGGTTGTCTCCAGCTGATGCCTCGAAATGATTACCTAAGGACGAATTTTTCTGGACTAGCTTTTGTGAACGGAGTAAGGGTAGGGTCAATGTAGTCTGTTGAAAAGGTGAGGAAGGGTGAGGAATATGTTGAGGGCATTTGTTTTTGTGCGGACCTGCTGGACCTTGTGGCTGTTGCATGGCAACGAGAAAACTCTGGTAACGTAACTGTATCGATTAAAACGCACCTGTTTTGGTTGTGTAGCGGTTAGGGAGCTGCGCTGACGGCATTGGTGAAGAGAAAGGAAGAAAGTGGAAGTGTACGGAAAGGAGATATGCAGGAAAGATTGTAGAAAGAAAGAAAGAAAGAAAGAAAGAAAGAAAGAAAGAGAATTGAAATAAAAGAAAAAGAAATAAGAAGGAAAAAGAGTAAGGATGGATTGGAAAGAATAAAAACAAAAAGAGAGGGAGTGAGGAGAGATTACAATGAAATAAAATAAAAAAAGAAAGAAAGAAAATTTGTGAGAGTAAAGAGAGTAGAAAAAAAGAAAAGGAAGAATAAAGAAAGAGAGTAAGGAACTACAGGAAAGAATAAAAATGAGAAGAGAAGAAAAGAGAAGAGAAAAGAAAGAAAGAAAGAAAGAAAGAATAGCACCCAAATAAGAGGGAAAACAAAAACAGGATGAAAATAAAAAGAAATAACCTGGGAAAAGAAGAACCAAAGCAAGCAAGCAATAAAGAAAGAATAGAACTCGAATGAAAGAGGGAAAAAACAAAATAAAAAAAGAAAAGAAAAAACACCGGAAAGAAAGAAAGAAAGAAAGGAAGAAAGGAAGACAGAATAGAACATGAATGAGAGAGTGTAAATAATAACTGGATTAGAAAGAAAGAAAGAAAGAAAGAAAGAAAGAAAGAAAGAAAGAAGTCTGCGGGTATAGATAAAAAAAAGGAAAAAGAGAGGAAAAGAGTAAGGATGGACTGGAAAGAATAAAAAGGAGAAGATAAGAAAGAAAGACGGACAGAAAAAAGAAAGAAACAATAGCTCCCAAATCAGAGATGAAAAAAGAAAAAACATTAAAAAAAAAGAAAGAGAAATAACCTAGTAAATAAATAAAGAAAGAAAGAGTAGCAAATACAGAGACACTTCTATACAACTAAAACATTCACAAATCTATATATACATATATACAAGTGTCCTACGCGGAGAACCATATACCATATCTTCAAAGCAAGCATTATTAGAAGAAAAATAATCACTAATTAAGGTTTTAATTCTTAATAAATTACTTTTATTCGCTTATAAAAAAAAAAAGTTAGGTTTTTCTGGTGCCGAGTTGTCTCGGTCCTAAGTTTTCTCAATCCTGACTTGTCCAGGTGGTGTTGAGTCAGCGGTGTTGAGTTGTCCCATTTCGTCCGTCAACAAGTCAACACTAGACTCTTTTCTATCGGTTAACGTGTTCGCAACGTTTAATTATAGATGATCGCGTGATTAGAGACATCTAAATTCTTCAATCAATCAAACTAAGTTATGAGAGAGTTTTGCTTAATAATGTCCTCTTCTAAACTTATATCCTATATTGCAGTGAATCCAGATACTTCTCACAGATGGAAAAGTGACCTGAAGCAACAAAGATGTGTGTCTACTGATCAATGCTAAGAATATCATGGATATTAGAGTCGGCACCCGAACATCGGGGTCGTCATTATTCCCTGTCTCCCCTCTGGTGGCGGTGGAGGAGATCACAGTGAAAGCCCAGCCTACTCCTGAAGAGTAATCAAAGAGAGTCTGACAAGGCTATTCGCGCGAATTTGATGAACAATTCTGTGCTACGGAGAAGCCCAACCACTTGGCCAGAAACGTTTCCCTCGCGGTTCAAAAGGGATTGAGACGGGTGATATCTGGCACAACCAGGTTGCATCGGGCTATCGGGTGATTGGTCTGTCAAGGTCAGCCTTGATTATGCCAGCCCGACTGGCGCCGCTCTCTTCCACCCGTTTAGCCGCCAAGATCGTGTAGATATTTATCTATTCTTCCGTTGGGACCTTCAGAGGTTCGTCAACTTCAGTCTGGTCTCTCCTCCTTGACTACAGAAGTGAAAACTCTAGACAGCTTTTGGGATCACTGAGATACGCAAGCCTTATTGCCCATGACATGTAACGGCCACATATTTTTTAAAATGGATGTCTGAGTGTTTTTAACTATTTGTTCAGTCATGAATTTCATATTTTATTATTTATCTTTCAAATATTTCTAGCAAGAACAATAATAAAAAAATGTTCTCATATATTTAATGATTATTTTATAGTTTTATTCTTTTCTTATTTATTGATTGTAGTAGCGTAATATTTTTTATGGACGAGAACGGATTTTCAAATGTGTCAGAAAAAAGCGTTTCGAGTCGTAACGTTTTTTTTCTTCAGTAGTGAATTTCTTTCTTTCTTATTTATCTGTAAGATATTTATTTTAGCAACAACAACAATAATAAAAATGTTCTCATATATTTAATGATCATTTTATACTTTTATTCTTTTCTTATTTATTGGTTCGTTTCTATTATCGTCATTAAAGTAATGATAAATAAAAATGATGCATTTGATAATGGACTATTCACTCCGACATCGAGTCTAAAATATTTGGTTGTTCCTTGTCATAATAAAAGGGTTGCGTGTCCCAGTGATTCCAAGAGCGAATCCGTCTGGATTTTTAACTCTTGTAGGGCAACGCATGGTGGTAAGGCCGAGAAGAAGGGACCAGACTGAACGCGACCAAACTCCGAAGACCGCAACAGCGGAATAGGCAAATATCTACACGACGGAAGTGGGCAGCGCCAGTCGAGCTGGCCTAACCAAGGCCGACCTTGACAGATCAAGCATCCGACAGTTTGATGAAACCAGGTTTGCCTGATCTCGCCTGTCTCAATCCATTGATAATTTTATACATTTACTCTTTTTTTTAAATTTATTTCATTTCTGTTATTGTCATTAAAGTAATAATAAGTAAAAATGATGCATTTGATAACGAACTGTTCACTTCGACATCTATTCTAAAATATATAAGATCATTCCTTGGCTTAAGTAGAGGGCTTATCCTAGTGAACCTTACGACTCTGACGACCAAACTACTAAACGTGGTTACACCACCGGGTGTAGGCGTCGACAAAAAGTGATTTATATTAATTGCTGACCGTAACTAAAGATTTGACCCTGGGTTCCTGATAATTCAGAATATCTATCATCACTAGGTATTGTTATATTAGGAAGATTTAATGCATTGTATTTGTTAAATTACTCATACACTGGCATTAATAATTTTATATTTATATTTAAGCGTAACATCTCTATTTTTTATGAAAGAAGACGTAAGTTTTGAAATTGTGGGAAAGGCATTTCGAGTCGTAATATTCGTTTGGTTTATCATTGACTATTGGTTCAGTATCATCGATTTCTTTCCCTATCATTTCTCATTCAAACTTTTTTAACAACATTTGCTAATAATTTTATTCTCTTATCTTTTTCTTAATTATTGATTGTAGTAACGTAACATTTTTTTTATGTAGCAAAAGCGTTATGAACCGGAACTTTAGTGAATTTCACTACTTTACTATTTATCACTCAAATATTTTTAACAACAACAATATCAAAAATGTTCTCATGTATTTTATTCTTTTCTTATTTATTGGTTCGGTTCTACTATCGTCATTAAAGTAATAATAATTCAAAGTGATACAATTGATAACGAACTGTTCACTCCGGTATATAGTGTAAAATACAAGGTTGTTCCTTGTCATGTTAGAGGGCTTGCGTGTCCCAGTGATCCCAAGAGCCAAGCCGTCTGGAGTTCCAACTCCTGTAGGATCGCCCATGGAGGTAAGCTCGAGGAGGAGTGACCAGACTGATTGTGACCAACCCTCGAAAACCCCAATAACGAATCATGCATAGAATATATTAACAACGGGGACGTTTTAAGGAAAAGCGGGAAAATAAGGTAATATATATTTACAATCAGAAAGGGAGCGTTGAAATTTTTTGGACGCATAATGTGGAAAGAAGGTTTGGAGAATTTAACAATCACAGAATGTAGTGAAGGCAAGAGCAGTATTAAGAAACACCAATAAATCTACTTAAAGAGTTTATGAGAAGGAAAGTCAGAACAGGAATAAAGAAGTGTGGTAAAGGGAAAAGCTAAAGTAACAAAAAGCAGCGAGTTGTGGTGAGCCATCATTAGTAACACACTGACGAGATATGGGACATAAAAGAATATTTTGGTCAATCCACTTACGAGTAACAGAACAACAAATAAAATATGGAATAGCCTTGGTTACACGGGTTACTCTGAAATGGTTGGCCGTTCAATTAGATTTATCTCTAATTCGTTTTTGTAATATGCGATGCTAGAAACGATCTGAAAATGACTCCTGTCTACATTAAAAATTCTCCAATACAATCTATTAACCACAAAATATCTGCGATACAACTCAGTCGATTCTATGCGTTATATGCAAAGCTACTCTGTTATAATGTTAGTGGTATTTATCTGATAGATCTCTGGTATTTTTTTTTATCCCGATGAGGCATAAAATACGCCGTCTTTGTCTCTAGAGACGGTTAAGACCTGTTTCAAAATAAGCTAATTATCGAATAGATGCTTACTGACTCGGATATAGACTGTCTATCGTTACCTATGCACTCAAATATAAACATAACCTATGTCTACCTGTACACTCGAGTATAAACACAATCTATGTCTACATATAGATCCCTCTATAAACACAACCTATGTGTACCTATTAACCCAAGCATAAACACATGACTATTTCTAGACTCAACAATGATTACCTATAAACTCAAATATAAACAATGATTACCTATAAACTCAAATATAAACACTGCCTATGACTAACTACAGCCTCAAGTATAAATATGACTTGTTGCCTCAAGTATAAAACGTACCTATATCTAGTTATATCCTCAAGTATTAGTGGACGTTTAATGTTTATATATAGTCTAAAGTATAAAAACAACTAATGTTTACCTCAAGTTTCGACACGACTTATGTCTAGGTATAAACCCAAGTTTAATAAAAATAGATTTTAATTGAAATATCCTAACAGTGGCCGAAATCTAGTAACCAACCAAAAATTTTTTTCATTATTCAATGATCATTATCCTTATCTTTATTTTTTTTTTATTTCAGCTCGATTATAGTTCAGTTACATTTTTTTCAGCTATGTCAGATCCAGATTACTTTATGAAGATTTTCAGTTACCAGAATACAACACATACTTCAGACTGGTACTTCTCTGCCACAGGGCTCCGTCCCTGGGATGGTGGTATCACGGCTATGACTAGCTTAGACCGGCTGTGACCAGCTTGGACCAACTATGACAAGCCAAGACCAGCTATGACTAGCTTAGACCATCTCTGACCAGCTTGGACAAGCTATGACGAGCTATGACTAGCTTAGACCAGATCTGACCAGCTGGGGCAAGCTATGACCAGCTAAGGCCAGCTTAGACCAGCGGCCTAAAAACTGATCTTATGTCCCAACCTGACTCTGTGGGGACGGGGGGTCAAGTAATTATCCATACTTTAGAAATTGGAAAGTTAATTTCTTGAACAATTCCGGATCAATTTTGGGCGGAGTAGCAGTTCTCGAACTCATTAATAAGAGAGAAATTGAAAATATTAGAAAGTTCATATAACCCATCAATATCCACTCCCGAATCGAACGGTAGGCGTTAAGGGGTCAGAAGTAGAAATCTATAATCAATATTGGAAATTTATGAACCTAAACTCAATAACGTATATTTCATAATACTCTAATATAGGAATTTTATAATCCCATAATCAATACTGGGATTTTCTAAACCTATAAACAATACTGCAATTGTATAAACCTATAATCGATGCTGGATATTTTATAAACTTATAAACAATACAGTAGTTTTATAAACCTATAATTAATATCGGGTAATTTATAAAGGTATAATCAATAATGTATATTTTATAAACCTATAATCAGTGCTGGATATTTTATGAACCTATAATCAATGCTGATATTTTTATAAACCCATA